GGCTTTTGAAAAGTCCTCTCAAATGTGGTAAAACAATGTGTATGCAGTATGTATCATAATAAGTAATAATCAGAGCTAAGCATCTTCTTCAAGGCAAATTAAATTGTATCTTAAATGATTTCCTCAGGTTCCTTCCAACCAGACTGCTCTCTGATACAAGCTCACTCTTTGCTTTGTCTGGCTCCTCACAATGGAAACATGCCAAGAACTTAAACCAGGTCTACACTTCACCGTTGCTGTTAGGGAGTGTGCACAAAGGGTGGGGTTTCAGATTTTACTTCAGCAAAATTCAATGAGGAGAGAGCAACTGCCGAAGATTTTTTTTTTTTAAATCAGGCAACCGACATAAGTTACACCAGCTAAAGCAATTTCAGTGCTATAAGCTCTGTCCGAAATAAGAAGGTTGGCCATTTTGGTAAAATCAGCATGCCTTTCCTGGGACAGACAATGTGTATGGACAAAGGAACCTGTCATGAAGCAACAGTGGGTATGAACCTCCCACTGAGGAGCTGACGTGACGAAACAGTCCACGTGCCCATGCTGGGGAAAGCTAAACCGAGACCTCCTTATCTCAAATGAACCAGCACTAAAGTTGCTGCAGTTTAGCTTTCATGTACCCGAGATGTGGGAATAGGCAGACGGAGGGTCACTGTACGTCAAGCTGTTGTGTGATAAGGCCATGCCCCACTCTGTTCAATCAGGCATCCACTTCATTGCCAGTCTATATCATATCCTTTGGCACTGCCAGGAGAGGAAACACACTACTTGTTTGTGCCCGTGTGCATTTGCAAAACAGACCAGCTTCTGGAATACATGCGTACTCACCAGCCCTTAGTGGCACAAATGGAAACAATCCTACTCCACGATGATGTTCTTCTCTACAGTCACCAGTGCTTAACAGTTCCTTGGAGCAGGCTTGAGGACTTTTGCACAGCAAGATTTAGGAAGAGGAGAAAAGGCTGTCAGGACTTCCTTTGAAAGAACCCCTTCGTGTGCTAAAGTAACCAGCGTGTGCAAATTGTCTAAGCAGGCTGAAATCCCTTCTCATACAGCCCTGGCGTGTGGGACGTTTAGCATGTACAAGCAATACAAGTTGCAGAAAGGGATGTTTAGGTTGGATATTAGGAAAAACTCTCTCACTAGGAGGGTGGTGAAGCACTGGAATAGATTATTTAGAGAGGTGGCGGGATCTCCATCTTTGGAGATATTTAAGGCCTGGCTCGACCAAGCCCTGTGTGGAATGATCTAGTTGGGGATGATTCAGCTTTGAGCAAGGGGTTGGACTAGATGTGACCTCCTGAGGTCCCTTCCCACCCTAATTCTCTATGATTCTAACTTGGTCAACCAGGATTAGGTTACTGATCCATTAATAGAAATACCCCAACTCCAACAACCATTTCACCAAGGCAAGAAAAAGGATTATGGAAGCTAACCCAGCTGGTGAACTCCTTCATCTGGATGAAACACAAGTCAAGGCTTTGATCTCTTGTTTTACTGCTCCCGTGTGTGGTTTGCAGAAATGAATCAAAGAGGAAGAGCTTCCCCAATGTAGACACAGCAGAGAAGCAGGAAAAAAACAAGAGGAGAAAGACTCCCATGGCTCATCCTTTGTACCCCTTGTCCGATAATTGGAGCCTCTTTAAGGGCCATGGATATGACAACTGCATGAACTGTAGCTGGTTCGGATGCAGGCTCCATGTTTAAATCTCTTGACAACATGCAGTTGATGGGATTCTGAATAAAATGGACCAGTTCTTTCATGGACCATTTGCAGGAGCACCCAGGTCCCCAGTCAAAAAATCACTTTCCTTGGCCTCTCCCAAAAGAGAAGTCTGACACTTTCCAGCCCTATGAATAGTAATAGTAGTGATCAGTAATTACTTGCAGTGGTTTCCAGCTATGGCAGTGGACTGGTTTCTAGCATGCTTTCGCTTCAGAAATATCAGTGGGAGCTTGTACTTCTCTTTCTCCTCTCTTGGAAAACCCTAAGGGAAGGGGAAAAAAAGCCCTGTTAAAGCCGTGATGAAAGAAGCCAAGTGAGCTGAGGTCTAGCCCGCAGCTCTGCAGGGGAACACTTTGTGGGACTCAACATAAGCACGTGTTGATGTGAATTGGTGCCACCCATAGTAACCACATCTAGGTGCCCTTTCCCCACAGATGTGATGGCAGTCTTCACCTGGCAGCAGGCCTCAGAGATTGCTCCCTGGCTGCTGAACGTGAACATAATATTTAATTTGATTGGGGGAGTGTTAGTCCCCAGGCTGATACTCTGATTTTGTAATGGTTTTGTTGTGAGCCTGGCTGAGTGGTCATGAGGCAAAAGTGAGGCTTTGAGGCAGCTGGGGAGAGAGAAAGGGGAGCAGCAGCGGGACAGAGTGAAGAACAGAGACTGGGGAAGGGCAGAGCAAACTGCAGTGGCACCATGAAGGCGGTTTGCTTGCTGTGCTGTTTTACAGGTCAGCGATCCAAGCTCTCCTGTTCCAAGGACAAACACCCTGCTTCCTCGGTGCTGTCCACAAAGAAGGAGCTCTCCAAAGCGGGTGGGCTGTGGGGAGGGAGGGAGGTGATGGATTGCTAGGGAAACCAGGGCCAGCGATGAGGCAGGGTGTCAAGCCAGAGACTTGGCCCTTGAGAAGCGACACCATGGCTAAGTCAGCGAGGTCCTTCAGGAAACAAACACCAAAGAAGGCTTCCACTTTGGAAATCCCAAGGCAGAGCTTCACCTCAAAAGAGGTGTAATGAAGGACAAAAACTACTGCCAGGAACTGTACATGTTTTTGCTCAATTTGAAGCAGTTTCCGTATAACTAAGGATCCCTTTCAGCCATGGCAGATTCAGGGAACCGCTGTTGAAAACTGCTGGTCTGCTATAACCTTAAAAACCTTTTCACGGTTGCTCCTTTAGGATCTACCAGTTCAGAAAGGTAAAGGAGAAGGACACATTACTTCTGTGCACTGAGAAGGGTGCTCTACATCCCTTCCAGCACTTGGGAATCTCTCTGCTTCCACCTCAAGTATAGTGGGCCTGCCAGATGAAGCAGAGGCCAGGCCTGACCCAAATGACACCTGCTCCGAAACATCCATCTCGGCTCTTCTTTGTTAAAGAAAGCAACCTTAGTAGCACACTTTTTGCTAGGGAGCATCATTGCCTGTCTTGTTTTCTGCAATGACACTATATGCTCCGTGCATTAAAAGTTTACAGGTCAGCTGCTGATCAGAATACAGCACAGAGTGATTTGGATCAGCATGCTGCGAAGTTGAGTCACAAGGGCCATTCTCTTCCAGTATTTCCCATTCAAATGGCCACATTCCTACACAGGCCACCCACCACGGGTATAAGCAAAGCAGCTTTCAACAGTGATGCCCTCAGGTGAGGTAGGGCACAAGTTATGGTTGCAAGCACCATTAAACTCCAAGAGACAAATATGTCTTAAGTGGAGACACGCAGGGATCCCACACTTACCCCTCTGTTCGTCTGTCCAGCTGTCATGCCAGGTCCTGCAGCACTTCTGCATGGACTCCATTCTCTAGGATAAAGAAACAGGTCATGTTTCAAACCAGATACATTGGACTTCTGACAAATCAGCTTTCGGGTGTCCACCCCTCAGGATTATACTCAAAACCACTAAGATTTCTGCCTTCTCCTAGACAGGTGCTGAAAGCCTGGCACGCAAGGACAAAGCCAAAAGAGATTTCCTACCTTCTTGCACGCTTTCCTCCAGACCCAACCTCAGCTTCAGGACCTCTGCTACCTGCATGGAAAGACAAGAAACACATTTAAAACAGAGTCATCTTCCAAATGGTGCCAGCATGGGAACATCTCATTCACAGGTTTGATTATGAGCAGCCTCTGACTCTCAGCCCATCGCTGATTCAGGAGGCAGATGCTGCTCTGACCAAATGTTGCTGCCAGGGTGACTTTATGAGAGCTTTTGCTCTAGGGCAAGTTTAGACATCTCACCATAGGATGTAGTGAATTCTCCTGTGCACCATCGTGTTCTGAAGGACCTTCCCATAAAGGCTCTTGGTACATGCACATGAACATGGCAACCCCCGCCTGATCGCCCTCCTACCAGCTCCCCCCAGCCTGCAAGGGGAAACCCACCATTGCCCACTTTTTTTCTGTGATTTTTGTCATAATCAGTCGACACTGTTGTATGCTTTTGCAACCCCATTTTCTCACTGCAACCCCAAGGTTGGGAACCGTGGGAGTAACCTGCTTTCAAGACATTTTCAGTGGCTCATTCTCTCACACAAAAGGTGCTTTAAGTTAGACACCAAAGTGTTCAATTTTCTAGAGAGGTAGCTATGTAGGAAACAATGTCAGCCAGGTCTAAACTTCACGGGTGCTACTCTAGAGCGTTCACTATGGGTAGGTTTTAATGATATTTTTACCCCAGCAAAGACCTCAGGTACTAAGCAACCGTACAAAACAGTTTCTTATTCAGGGAACTGATGCAAACTGGAAAGAGAAGGTGGGCTGTATAGCAAATCCAGCAAACCTTTTCCACAATACGCATACTCACCTGTCCTTAGTGTTGCAAGTGGAGGCACTCCTGCTCCTTCACCAGGTCCTTCCCCATGGCTACCAGCCCTGAATGGTTCCCTGGAGAGCGCTTGAGTACTTTTGCACAGAAAGATTCGACAAGAGGAGAAACGTCTGTCAGAACGATCTTTGAAAACAGCCCTTACATATATTAAGTAACCGAGATGTGCAAAGTGCGTGGGCATCCTGGAATCCCTTCCAGCACAACTTTGCATTCGTCCCCCAGCCATCCCAAGAGATGGGGCTTGAGTCCATCACGTGGTTGACAGGCGGGGGTGGGCAACATGGTGGCTCCATTTCCCAGCCACTGCTGCCCGTGTTGCTGCGGCCGGTTTCCATGGAGACCTCAGGAGCAGCAGCGCCCTGACAGTGTGGGTCCAGGGTTTCCATGGAGACCGGCCCCAGCAGTGCTGGCAAGGCGCATGGCTGGGAAGGGAGCTGCTCCAGGGCTGGGATTGGGGTCACGCAGTGGTGACAGCTTGGTCTGGAGCCAGGGCAGAGTTGCAATTTGCTGCCTTCGCGCCCCTGCCCAGCATGGCTATGCTGGTGGGCATGGCTATGCTGTGATCTGCTGCATGTGGGCAGCAGATCACAGCTCTGCTTTGGATCCAGACCATGCTGTCACCACCACAGGATCCCGGCCCTGGAGCAGTTCCCCACCCAGCTGCATGCCTTGCCATGGAAAACCTGGTCCCATGCTGGTGGGGCACTGCTGCTCCTGGGTCTCCATGGAAACCGGCTGCAGTGACATGGGTAGGGGCTGCTGGGAAATGGAGTCCACCAAGGGCCCGATCTGGCCCATGGGCTGGACTTTGCATGCCCTAGGGGTTTTTTCCCCCCCCACACACACAACCACAGTAATATGAAATTCACTGAAGAGTCACCTTGTTTCATTCTCTGGGACAATCCAGTTTTCTTTCTGTCCCATCTAAAACCTGATCAGGTCATTAACTCCTTTTCCAGGGGTAACTATCTTGCCATATGCTTTGCACCAGATTTGTAGCTCCCCTGGATCTTCATTACATCTTGAAGGCCAGGGGAGAACAAGAAGTGGCTAGTACGCCACTCTGTCATGGATGCTCATCAGATGATATAAATACTGAGATTTTGGTTTTGTGCGTTTTAGCTATTCTCTTTCTCTACCCTCAAGCAGCAGAAGGATATATGGACATTATGCTGCAAGGAGGGTTTCCCTACTTCAGATACAAAAGTCAGATGGAGGCTTTGCATGTTGTCCTCACAGAAGAGGAAAAGGGAGCTAAAGCTTTTTGGCACAAGCACCATTCCCGAAAGATCACATGCCAAGTTCATCTCTTCACTCCTTTTTCTGGCAGATGCTCATATTAAGTGGATGGTGCGACATGCATGGAAACATTAAAAAATCTACACAATGATTCTTTCTCCGCCTCAGCCAGTCAGTTCTCACTTCTTTTGTCCTTCTACCAACTCCAGTTAGCTCTGGCCTGTGCATTTTTGGACCAGCATAGCCATGCAGATCTGGTAGGATTCTTCAATAAGTGATATCAACACAGTGCATAGGCATAGTGACAGAGTTTCATCAGGGCGCCAATCTGTGACATGCATGCCAAAGGGCAGCCTCTGTCTGCAGCACACAGCAGATTGGGCAGGGAGCAAGAAGCAGAGCAGCAGGGTGGGCAGGGGAAGGGAACTGGAGTGACACTGGGTGCAGGCACATGGCTTAATCTGTAGCACAGCTGCCAAGAAGGTTGGCCCCACTAACTGCACTGCACTGACAGAGCAACAGCTCACCCGGCAGGGTTTGCTTCCACTAGCATTGAAGGGGTGTGGACAGGTGTAAGATCTGAAACACCTGACAGGGCAAGGCAGGCAGCTGCACGGGCCCTTTGATGAGCTCCGGAAGTGGCAGAAACGCAGCAGAACTAACCCCACAGGAAACAGCGGTTCAAAATGAAAGGCTTCCTGTATAAGCACATGCTTCAGAGCATGCCAGGGGATCCCTGGGTCCTCCAGCATCCTATAGTGCTCTGCCTTCCCAACCACACCCCCGCACAGGGCAAGTGCTCTCCTGCCTGCTCTCCCAAAGCACACATCTCCCCTTCTCACTACTCCTCGCCTCCGCACCAAAGCAAGAGCTGCGCTGTGAGATCAGAGGTGGATCTCACAATCCCAGTGCCCCGGGCAGAGCACAGGGGAAAGGAGGATGCTGTGCAGAGGGGAGATCTGAGCAAGTCTAACCTCACCCAGGACCCCGACCACTGCTGCTTGGCACCTGGCAACCTGGCAGGGACTCAGGGCTGCAAACTGCTCAGGGCTCAGTTTGCTGCTACAGCATTAGCGCCTATGCAGCAGCTGCAGCAAGCTCCACAGCATAGGCTTCCCGGGGCACTCTTCTGGCACCCCCTTGAAACCCGTGCCCAGGATGGGTGCCCCTTAGTTAGTCTGCAGTGGGAAACACTTCAGACATCATGTCTGCTTCCACCTGCATTGGGTTGCAGGTTTGGAGAACTCCCTTGTCTGAATGAAACCCAAGTTGAGGCTTGGGTCTCACATTTTACTGCTCCTGTCCAAAGGTTGTAGGCATGGTTCTAAGGGGAAGAGTTTCCCTAATGCAGAAATAACAGAGGCTTGGAAAAGAAACTGAGAAGAGAAAGATGCCTACAATTCACCCTCTGTACTCTGCCAAGTGTCCCTGGCTGCATTATTTAAGCCTCTGTAAGGGCCACAGAGATGTTGCACTGTGACACAACTGCAGGCACTGCAGCAGGTTCAGAGGAGGTCTCAGCACCGAAGTCCTTTGACAATGTCCAGTCAACAGGACTCTGAACAATGAGGAGTTCTTGCACTACAGCAAGTCCAGGGTTCTCCGTTAAAAGCTCATTTGCCCTTGACCTCTCCAAAAAGAGACATCTGACATATTTCAAGCCATTTTACTACAAACAGAAATGATCAGTAATTACTTGGAGTGGTTTCCAGCTATGACATCAGGCTGGTTTCTAGCATGCTTTCGCTTCAGAAATATCAATGGGAGCATGTATTTCTCTCTCTCCGCTCTTGGAATACCCTAAGGGAAGGGAAAAAAAAGCCCTGTTAAAGCCGTGATGAAAAAAAGCAAAGTGGGCTGAGGTCTAGGCTGCAGCTCTGCTGGGGAACACTTTGTAGGGTTCAGTGTGAGCATGTATTGACGGCAATTGGTGCTGTCAATGGTTTGATTAAGTACCACACTTAGAGGCGCTTTTCCCCAGAGGAGGAGATGGCAGCCTGGGCCTGGCACCAGGCTGTAGAGACTGCTCAATGATTGCCTTCCCAGTACATAATATTTAATTTCACTGTGGGGAGAGTAAGTCCACTCGGCAATGCTTTGGTTTTGCAATTTTTTGGGGGGAGTGGGGCTGACTGGCTACCTAAGGAGAAAGAGTGAGGCACCGAGGGATCTGGCAGGAGCGAACAGGTAGACCCACGGACACAGACTCCCAGAGACTACTGTGCCATGAGAGTGGTAGCAATGTGCTGCAACAATGGTATTTTACTTCATTTGTTATTTTTGTATGCCCATGAGAGGGCACAGCATGCATGCAGGGCAGGGCGCAGAGCAGGGTGCAGCTGAGCAGCGTGTGGCCACGTCCCCAGGTGCAGGCAGGGGGGGTGGCAGTTCACAGATGTCCAAAAAAAGCGCAGCTCCCCAGCAGCTGGAAACTTCAGATCTACTGAAACTATGAAGCTGGTGGCCGGGAGAAAAGGAGCTTGATGTTGCTGGAGTGCATCATCCCTGTCTTGTTCTCTGCAGCTGCACCCATTTACACTGCAGGCTCCATGAGGAGACCAGAAAACCAAGAGAGTTGGACCAGCCCATGGAGAAGCCCAGAGTCGCAAGGGTGTTTCTCTTTCTGTAGATGCCATTCAAGCCACTGCAAACCTACAAAAGCCATGTAGCATAGGCACAAGAGTGGCAGAGGGCCTCAGGGACATGATCCAGTAAGGAAGTGCACAGCTAATGGCTAACAACGCAGTTTAGCTATGAGATACAAGTTTGTCCAAAGAGGAAACACGTGGGGATCCCAAGCTTACCCCTCGGTGTGTCTGTCCGGCTGTCATTCCACGTTCTGGAGAGGGTCTGAGTGGGCTCCGATCTCTAGGACAGAGAAATGGGGGTTTCAAACCACACACATTGACAATATGCTTTGGGGTTGGAGGTGTGAGAGGGCCCTGGGAGCTGCTTCTATGGGGCCAACACAGCTCATGCCTTAGTACTGGGAGAGAAGACCAAGAGTTGACCGATGCTCTGCAGGAGACACTAGGGAAGAAGGAAGAAAGGGAACTGGAAAAGCCACTCCCAAAAGGGGTGACTACCAGTATATAATGGGTACACCTCTTGTCAAATTTTAAGCCCCACCCCCTGATAGATACTCCGCCCCCTTGCCCTGCCCCCTTACCCACCATCTCGACACCAGAAGTCCTGCCCCGTGGCCATCCTAGCCTGTGGCCGCTGCGTTGTTCACCATGATGGTCCCAGACCCCCTGCCCCTATCACATGGTTTGCAACATCAGAGGTCTCACCCCCCAGACCCCCGTGCTGGCTGCCATGTTGGCCCCAAAATCCCCTGCTGCCCCGTCACAGGCCCCGTGACATCAGAAGTCCCACCCTCCTGGCAGCCATGCTGGGCATCATCCTGGTCCCAGAAACCCCTGGTGCCCCGTTGCATGCCCCCGTGACATCAGAGGGCATGCTTCTTGACTGGGAAACACCGCCCCGCAAGCTGCACGGCCCACCCTGGGACGCCAGAAGTTCAGCCCCCACTAGGTTGTGAGCCACGGGCACGGGCTATCAGGTAGCGAAGGGTTGTGACCCCTCTAACAACTTGCCCGGCTCCCCTCGACCAATCTGCAAGGTGGGGGGTTTCAGGGGCGTCAGACCTCCCCCAAGAACGGCACCGAACCAATTGGAGCAAGTATAGAGGTGGGACCTAAGCTGGAAGTCCCTGGCATGCCTCTTTTCCAAATCCTGTTGGGAGACCCTGCAAACCAGGCCACGTGTCTTCTGGGACCACGCTCATGCAGACAGAAGCAAGTATGGATTCTTACACTGTGGAAGCCTCAGACACTGTTCAGACATCGCTCTGCCGCACTATGGATGAGAGCTCAGTGGTGGAGACAGATTCCCAGACTCCTAAAACAGGTCTGGGGTCCGTGGTGGACACCCCCCCACCACCACCACCAATGGCCTGCATCAGAGCCACCGGCAAAGTATGGAAGTGGCAGAAAAGTTGAACCCAAGGGCTTTGCTCTAGATTTTTTTGGAAGGAGCAGCTTTCTATGGTAACAGGGTGGGTCTGTGTTAACTATGTAATCTCTTTGCAGGAAGTGAATTGGGATTCTTACACTACACCACTGAGGCCCTCGGCTCCTGCCTTACCACCAAGGCATGCCAGATGCCTGCCAAGGAAATGTGACTGCAGTGATAGTTCTGAGGAGGGGGAGATCAAGGAGAGTAGCCCCCGAATCCAAGGGTTGCCTGAGATGCCCGAGGCCCAGAGAAGATGCTGCGGATTCTGGAGAAGGGGGTGGCTCGTGCCGGACACGGCAGGAGAAGAAGACATCTCCGAGGGAACAGAGGCACTGGTGAGTGACTTGAACCGTGGGTGTGGGTGCCCTAAGGGGAGTTGGTGGTAGGGGTTTTGGGGGGACCCTGATGGGGCAGGAAGTAGCTATGAACTCCTTAAACAGAAGCTAACTAGAGCTTTTCCTTTGAAATCCCTCTGCAGCTTGATGAAGCCTTTCTAATGCCACCAGAACGACAGCACATCAACAAACCTGTAATCCCTGTATTGGAAAAGAGAAACTGGTTTTGTGACAAGCAGAGGTCTGGTGTTTCAAAAGAAGATGCTGTCACCTTTAGAAGGCGACTAGGGACTGAACGAATAGGACCCGTCTCGCGGCAGGAACATAAAAGCCTCATGAAATCTCTTATCCGTGTTTGTTCCTATGGCATACTGAAATATTGCTTGAGAAAGAGACTTTTGAAGACTGCGTGGGCTGTCTCCTAGCTGTACCAGGACAAGGAAGCTATGAGTGTGCGGACTGGACAGATGAGGTGATAAACCAGACAATTCGGGAACTTTATACTGAGCTGTGTATGGAAAGTGGTCTAAAAGCAGTTATTGCATTAGGGTATTCTATGGACTCTCTGTAACTCCCTGAGAAACATTTTGCTCATATTCACTGGACTGAAGACCCAAATTCTGCTTTCCATGGAGTGAACCATGAAGAGGACAAGCCTCTGGTACCCTACACTGAACACTTAATTAATTAAAGCTGGTGCTTTGGGACCTGTGAATAAGAAACTCAGTACTGACTGCGAATGTACATTAGAGAAGTCTCAGGATGAGCACTGCCATCTGATTTTGAAAGATCATAATTACTGTGCCCATCTTGCTTCGAAAGATCACGACTGGTGTTGGAACAAAAAGAAGGGGCCAACTGGGGGTGCAGGCAAATGCATACATTGCAGAAAGAGTTTGCAGGTTGCTTTTAATATTGTCGGAGCAAAAGCACGCATTTTGCACAGGGAGGAGGTAATAATCTCAGGGGTAAGTGGCACAAGGGGCAAAAAGTCAGAGCCTTCTTAAATATGACAGTCCAAAGGGCTAAGTGCCTGTTGAGAAACAATAAGTGACCCCCTAGTGATGGTGATCCTGGAAATCCCACAAATGCTCCCCCTCCTCCTGAGACTGGGGGTGATGGCAGTGACCCTGGGGACCCATTATAGGACCCCACAAATGCTTCCCCTCCAGACTTTGCATCATAGGACTCTTAGCATCATATATATCATTCAAAACGTTTTCTGTCAAGGGACAAAAAAGAGTTGCATCATTACCCTCAACACAAAATACATAGTTCTGTTTCAAAATCCCAGGGATAAGCTACAGGTGGTATCCCTGGCAAGGCAGATGTACCTGGGCAAGACCTCGTTCTTCCTAGAAGCTTTTGACGATGCCACTAAAAAAACCTTATGGGTATCTGGTGACAGACCAAAATGCTTCTACCCCGGAGACTTTTAGATTAAGAACTGGGCTTTTTCCTCCTGACCAGCCGGCGGTTTACACTTTGAAAAAAGCAGCGGGTGGAAATAAAAAGCGACGATGTAGCAGCGGGCTCTTTTTTAGCTCCCGAGCCTGCAGAAGGGGAACATGTCTAACCGCGTGAAGAGGGTACAGAGGCAGGAGGGCAGGAAGGGCAGTAGCTGCGTTGTTCTCCTTGTGATGCGGGAAGGAGAGGAGAATAATACAAATGGAGCAAAACCTCCTTTTGCCTCTTGTGCCACTTACCCCTGGATGACGGTGGGTTTTGCTACCTCGTATGTCTCTCTCCCATCCTTAAACAATGTGAATGTAGCAGCTGTTCCCCGCTAAAACCTTCCCCTTTTGAAACTGCTCCCAATGGATGTGTGTCTGCCCCTCCGGATTACGCTCTACGTCCTTTCCTCCAGGCCTTCTTCTAGGCAGATACTGTGAGCCAGGTGCAGAAGGACAAACAGAGATTTCCTACCTGCTCGCACCCTTTCCTCCAGGCCCAAGCAGGGTCTCGGTCTCAGGACCTCTGCTACCTGCGTGGAAGGACGAGAAAAAGAAACTGTCAATAAAAGTCACCTTTCAGACTGGTACCAGCATGGGGACCACCCGTTCATAGGTTAGACCGTGAGCAATGTCTGACTCTCGGCTCCTTGCTTACACAGGAAATAGATTGTGCTCTAACCACATATTGCTGCCAGGGGGGTTATGACAGATCTTGCTCCCTGGCCAATTCAGACAATTTCCCTAAAGGGTAAAGCTGGTGCATTTTCCCGTGCCTCATTGTTTCCTGAAGAAGCTTCCAATGCGGACTCTTAACTATTTCAAAAAACTGTCCATAGTTTCATGACTAAGTATGGCAGGTAGAAAAGAAAGGGCACCCGCTGCTACAAACCTAACCAGCAGAATTATAAGATGTAATGAGAGAGGACTGGATTATTACTTGAAGTTGAACAGCTGGAGTTGAAAGACTAACCTGCTTTCAAAACACATCTCCAGTGGCCCATTCTTTCATGAGAAAACTGCCAAAAGTTACACACCAACTTTTCAACTTGCCAGGGAGGCAGCTACATAGAAAAAATAACTGAACAAAAAAAAAAGCTAAATTTCTCATTAGCCACAAAAGATATAATTAACTGATATGTTCTGCTTGTACTGGAGTGATACTAGAGCCACAAGAAATATGCAAGAGCCAAGGATTTTTTCACTGGGAAAGCTTGTTGAAATCTAGCCGAACCATGCTATTTGTTCACTAAGAGATATCACCCTCAAAAATCCTTTTTTTTGTTTCTAACAATTCCCCCACCACGAAGTATTCACAAATGGGACATATCACAAGGCTCTACAAGGAAGTACTGGTCATCAGATTTAGGGTTATACATAAATCTGCTTTAATAAGTATCCCAGAGGTAAAGCTAGTATATCAAATATCTTCAATTCAATAAAGTCTTGTTTTATTTTCTCAGCCTCTATATAGAAGCAGTTTCTTTTCTTTTCTATCCACTCAAAAATGAAATTCTCTTCTTTCTATTCTTGTCTTGATTTTCCTTTCTATATTCTTGACAGATATGTCTGTCTGTCCATCTATAGAGAAGAGGATCTCCCAGATACGGTAAAACTTTAGGAGTGTATATGTATCTCAACAAGTTATAAATAAACCTAAGCATTTTTCCTCAAGGTCATTTCTATGGTATCAGGAGGTATTGCTGAGGTCCCTTCCCACCTGACTATACAACGGTATAAGCTCAACCTTTTCCTTGCCTGGCTGCCCACAAACCACATACTCCATCAACTTGAGCCAGGTCTACTCTTCACAGTTGATATTACAGTGTTCCTTAAGGATAGGCTTTCACAATATTTTTACTTCAACAAAAACTCATGGGTACAGAGCAACTGTATCAGCCGGTTTATTTTATTCAGGCAGTTGACATAAGCTACAATAAGAAGGTGAGCGGGTGTAGTAAATCTGGCAAACCTTTCCTACCACAAACTATGGGTAGGGGCACATGATCCTGCAGTGAAGCAACAGTGGGCAGGAACCTGCCCCGGGGCAGCTGACGGGCAGAACCAGTCCATGTGCCTCTGCTGGGGTAACCTAAACCAAGGCAGCTTGCCCAAAATTAAACAGTGCTTTGTTGCTCTAATTTACCCCATGAAGTTAGAATAGGCAGACTGGTGGTCCCCACACATCTCCCTGCCCCACTGACCCATTTCGTTGTCCACCCACATAATTCAATTAGCGCCTTCGGGGCTAATTGAAGAGGGCCTACTTGTTTATGCCTGTATGTATTTACAATACAGACCTACTGGGGGAATACACCCACACTCACCAATCCTTCGTGTCACAAACGGAGGCACTCCTACTCCGCAAATGGGTCCTTCCCCATGGCCACTAGCCTTGAGCAGCTCCCTGGAGGAGGCTTGAGTACTTTTGCACAGCAAGACACAGGAAGAGGAGAAAAGGCTGTCAGAACTTCTTCTAATGGACTGACCCCCTACATATACTAAGTCCACGTGCATGTCCATTGCTTAAGCAGGCTGGAACCCCTTCCCATACAACGCTGGACCGGTCCCGCTGCATGCTGAAGTCCTTTGGCAATGTCCAGTCAACAGGATTCTGGACAGCATGAACCAGTTCTTTCACTAAACAGCTACCAGGTTCCCAATCAAAAGAGCATTTTCCCTTGGCCTCTCCTAATAGGGAGGGCTGACATTTGCACCCCTATTTTACTAGTAATTGAAGTGATAAATAATTACTTGCAGTGGTTTCCAGCTGTGGCAGTGGACTGGTTTCTAGCATGCTTCTGCTGCAGAAATACCAATGGGAGTCTGTACTTTTCTCTCTCCTCACTTGGAACATCCTTGAGAGAAGAAAAAACCATGGTAAAGTCAGGATGGAAGAGGCAAAATGGGCTGAGGTCTAGTGTGCAGCTCTGCTGGGGAACACTTTGGGCAGGTGCGGTGTGAGCTTGTGTTGATGGAAATATATTCTGTTAAAAGTTTTGTAAGTAGGACATCTAGATGCCCATTTGCCTTTGTGGGGGGATGGCAATCTGGGCCTGGGAGCAGGCCACAGAGACTGCTCCCTCATTGCTTCCCCAGGACATTGTGTTTAATTTGGTTGGGAGTGCTTTAGTTCCCCAGCTAATGCTCTAATTTTGTAATGGGTTTCTCCTGAGTTCGGCTGATGGGGTGTGAGGAGAATGAGAGAAGTTCAGAGAGAGCTGGGGAGAGAGAAAGGGTGGCTGCAGGGTGGACAGGCTGAAGAACAGAGCAGAGTCTGAGAAACAAGAGAGGGAACTGCTGTGGCACAATAAAGGCTGTTTATTTGGCGCCGGGAAGTCCGCTGTGCTGGCTAGGACGTTGGTCCTCTGGCCCAGCATTTCCAAGAGAAAAACACCTCCCCTTTCTGGGAGCTGACCACAAAAAAAAGAGCCCTACAGATCACCGAAACAGCCAGGCACATAGACGAGGCAGGGTCTGAAAGCCAGAGGCTTGGCCCTTGAGAAACTGCACCAGGGCTGGTTTCAGAAGGGTCTTTCAAAAGACTGAAGACCAAAGAAAGCTTCTAGCTGGGAAGTCCCGAGGCAGAGCTTTTCCTTGAGAAGGGTGTTACCCAGGACAAAAACTATTCATAGATTTTCATAGATTTCATAGACATCAGGGCTGGAAGGGACCTCGGAAGATCATCGAGTCCAGCCCCCCGCCCAAAGGGCAGGAAGTCAGCTGGGGTCATAGGATCCCAGCAAGATAAGCATCCAGTTTCATCTTGAAGGTGTTCAATGAAGGCGCTTGAACCACCTCCGGTGGCAGGCTGTTCCAGACCTTGGGGGCTCGGACAGTAAAGAAGTTCTTCCTTATGTTCAGCCTGAAACGATCTTGAAGTAGTTTGTGACCATTCGACCTCGTCATCCCTTGGGGCGCTCTGGTGAACAAACGTTCCCCCAGATGTCATTATTGCCAAGAAAAAGCACTGAAAACTTTACAGCATATCTAATGCCTGCTACATCTAGACGTTGTTAGAAAGGAGAAGGAAACACATTTCTGCTCTATGCGAGGCAGAATTTCCATATACCTACGGATCCCTTCTAACCAGGCCAGCGCTATGTCCTACTGAACATGCACACAGTGGCTGATGCAGCCATTACTGCACGCATCTTTGGCTGGGTCTAAATAAAGCAAACATCAGTCAATCAGATGCTGATTTCAGTCACCCTGGGGGTAATTTTAAAACCAGTCTACAACATACACCTGTGTCCCCAAAGCCAAGGGCTGCACATTTAAATTAACCGCAGCAACTATGACATCCTATGGATCTCAAAGTTTATTCATCCTTGGTATGTGGCCAGATGCAAGCTCTTAACCCACCAGACTTCAGGGGAACACAAAATAAGCAGCAAAAAGGCTGCATCACTCCATTCCCTTTATGATCTTCTCACTCAGCAAGGCAATGTAAAAGGGCATGGTACCTCTGTCCTTTGAGGAAAGTATTTTACAGTCTTGTCTGAGCTTTGGCGTATCTGTTCTTCCACCTCAAGTGCAGGGGGCCTCCCAGCTGAGGCAGAAGCCAGGCATGACCAAATTGACCCCTCCTCCAAAACATCCGTCTCAGCATGTCTCTGTTAAAAAGAAAGAACCTCAGTAGCACGTATTTCGTTAGGGTGCGTCATCATTTGTCTTATTTTTTGCAGCTGCACTCAATGACACTCAGTGCTCCGGGTATTAAAGTTTCACTAATCAGCTGATGACAGGAACAGCCCACAAAGGGAATCAGACCGCACTCGGAGATGCCCTGGGATTCAAGGCCCTTTCTCCTCCAATACGTGCCATTCTGGTGACCACACTCCTACAAAGGCCACCTACCATAGGGAGGAGCGTGGCAGAGTCCCTCAATGACATGCTCCAGCGAGGAAGTCGGCAACTTATGGTTGAAAACAGTTTAGCCACAAGAGGCAAGTTTATCCAAAGAGGAAACACACAGGGACTTCCAAGCTTACCCCTCTGCTTGTTTCTTGGACTGTCGATCCAGGTTCGTCAGGGGTTCTGCGTATCCTCTGACCTCTGGGATAGAGAAATGAGGCATATTTCAAATGAGGCATGTTTCAAATCATATACACCTTTTTATGACAAATAAGCCTTGAGGTCATAGTTTTGAGGGGGGCTGGGAATTGCCTGTGAAGGGATCAACACAGCTAGTGCGTCAGTAATGTGCAAGAAGAAGAGTTACAGGTTGACTATCTCAAAGCACCGATAGTCTGGGGGAGTGAGTAGAGGAGAAGGAACAAAGGTAAATGCAAGGAAAGTTAGGACCACGTGTCCCCACCAGCTAGCTGGGTCTCTGTTGTACCAGAGATCCAGTCGATAGACAAAGTATCAGAGTGAGGTAGTAAATCCTGCAGGGAGAGGAGGAACACCACGTTTAAAACTTCCTCCCCTCCATTGCTAACAAATGTGCACATGGAAGAAATGGAGGACACATTCCTACTCCAGAGA